TTCTTTATAGGCATTGTGCCTCATATAGATAAATTCACTCAATCTGAAGCCATTACAAGTAATGCATGATATTATGTGAGCACAGATAATTACTGCATGTATTTCTGTAGCAATGGATCAGTCTGTGCAGTCAATGGAAATTTTATTGCCAGAAATAGACAGAAATCAAATGAAGATTGAAGGAATGTTTGCTATAGATGGTATGTATAATAACTGTCACTGTGTCACATGACTTGGTAATAATCATAGATTTGATTGATGTTGTTAATTTATTGAAGAGATGTGGTTTCCCTCAGTGGAGATGGATGGAACTAGGACTGAGACTAGGACTACTCAAGGACTCACTGGACGCTATTGCAGAAAACTACTCAGAAGTAGAAGATCGTTTTATTGAATGCATTGCCAGATGGTTGCGTAGAACTGATAATGTTGACAGTAAAGGAGGAGCTACCTTTGACTCACTGTCAGATGCTCTTAAATTTATGAATGATAACACTTTAGTTGAGAAGTTAAACCAAGAGAGTAAGTTAATATCACTGATTGTATTAGTATTGACTCTGTGTGTGTGTATTCTAGAACATAATACAGTACTGGCTATTGATATATTCAACACTTATCATCCACTCCTCTCTGAGTCTCTCTCTGATCCTGTCAGTGTAGCTATTATGCTTCAAAGAGAGGGTGTCATAACAGGACAAGTATTGGCTAGTGTGGAATCAGCTAGTCCTTCTGTTCCTAATCAACGTAAAGTCTTGTTAGCTGCCATTAGAGAAGCTGTGCAAAGAAATTATAATTTGTTACATACATTTGCTAGTGTGTTGTGCAAGTTCACTGATAATATAGAGCTAGGAACAGCATTGCTACAAGACTATGGTGAGTACTGTAGTATAAAATATTTTATCTCTTGTTTTAATTTTAGATAAGCATCTTGGCACTAAAATACCAGATGTAGATGGAAAACAGGTCTTGAAATACATACAATTACATGTATATGCATACAAAAATGGTCCATTTAAACAGCAATAAAAAAGTGATAAAGACATTTGCTGTGCAGTATAACCAAAATTTTAAATAATAAAATAGATGTACAATGTGCATACACAAATGATGTACAGCTCGAAACATTGGTAGAGAATTATTATTATTATTTAGTGAAATGGCAGTCCATGATTTTGTTTCATGCACATGCTCAATGATACATGGCAGGAATTTTCAGCTGTATGATATTTACCATATAGATACAAATATGTATCAGTTTTTTTAAATAGTCAGTAAAGGAAGACTTTTATCCATATGCAAAATTTATCTGTACTGACATGTATGTATGCACGCAAGTGTATATATACATGTAGATATAGGCACACACATATGCATAATAATAATAATTACCTATTATTATTATTATTATTATTATTATTATCATTATTATTATTATTATTATTATTATTATTTCTGTTTTGTAGGACAAGAAAGAACCATTTGGTGTATTTAGGTCACATTTTGCTCAACTTTGTGATGCTATAGCTTCAGAGCACGTCATTATAAGGGCAGCATCTCATTGCATAGGAGAAATCAGCGACGATGTATTTGATAAAGCTACAACTTCTACTATTCCTTTATATGAGAGAGCACAGGCACTTCTTATTGAATTACATCGTAATCTCAAAGCATCCAGGGATCAATGCCAGTATTTAATGCAGCTAATTAGCATATTCCATAAAGTAAAAGACCCAGTTTTGTCTAAGATAGCTGATTCAATGAAATCAGAACTGTAAGAGCAGCTTTTTTAATAATATCAATATTTAGTATTATGTCTGTTTACTTTTTGCTTATTATAATGATAATTTTTTTGAAATTATGACCTTATTAGTATAATTAATATCAAGAGTAGATAATTATTATCTACTCTTGTTAATATAATAACCATATTGCAATATGATGCCACGCCTAGCCCTCAAATAATGACACCAGTTCAAGTTGCAGCTTGAGTCTGCTTGACCTTAACTTGCTCGCTTTCTTGAAAAGAATGTCATTCTCTTTTTTTTCCACTTCTATATGCATCATTGTATTGACTGCTCTAATCTTTTCAAATGTAACGGGTAAGTTATTTAAGTATTTTCTCTGCACTTTCTCTTAATAGGTAGCTGTACAGAAGGCAGTATAACATTATTTGGTAGTACAAGAGAATATGAAGGACTAGTATCAGTTTGTTATAATGGCACCTGGTCTGTACTGTGTGGTGGTACTGACAGCAGGTGGAATGTAGACACTGCCACCATTGTATGTAGGTCACTGAACTATAAAGGAGCTGGCAGTAAGTATTTGTACATGATTTGTAATTCTTTTATCTGCTGTTATCATTGCAGTAATTTTTAATGGTTATATTGTTCATTACATCTGACATCTGTATGTACAAACTAGTCTAAAATCATAAAAAATGGCTGAATGTGCAAAAATCAAATAATCACAACTCTTCTTCTATTACTCTAGCTCTCTTTCTCCCCCCTTCTCCCTCTAGTTATATTAAAAGATCATGGCTGGTCCAATGGTACTTCTTCATCATTACCAGCTGTCCAGTTCACCTCCTCTCAGTGTATTGGTGGTACTGCTAACATTATCACTGATTGTGCTAGTCTTGAGTCCATTACTTATTGTCCTACACATCAATACAGTGGAGTACTCTGCAGTAGTAAGACTTCAATATAATGACAGTATATTAATAATCAGTTTATTATTGAAATTATTATACTATAATTATGTGTTTATTATAATATTTTTATTTATTTCATAGATCCAGATGTCTCTGCAGCTGCTAATGGAGATACGGCTTTATTGAGTTTCCTGTCCGCTAGCAATTTAGGATTACTGCTAATCTATTACAATGGTAGCTATGGTACTGTCTGTGATGATGAATTCTCAATGAATGAAGTTCAAGTGTTGTGTACTGAGCTGGGATATAGCCCTGATAATGGAAGTAATACTTAATTATTTATTTAATTTTTATTTTTTAATATTTTTTATTTCTTTTTTCAGTTGCAGTTTCAAGTGAGAAGTTTGTCTTCATTCAAGACGAATTCCAAGTCTATCTTGATACCGTGCATTGCCGTAGCAACATAGACACGACCATTGGTCGCTGCCTAAATGATGGGTTTCGTTCAACAAACTGTGACACAATAGAATCAGTTGGAATAATATGCCAAGGTAAAAGAGAGTCATCAAATCATGTGACTATCATGTGATATCATATAGTTCAAGGTGGTTCCTGTAAGAATGGTGACGTTAGGTTAATGGGCGGGACAAGAGCAGCTGGTCGCGTGGAGTTGTGTATTGGAGGACAATGGGGGACCATCTGTAATAAAGGATGGAATGATAAGTCCGCTAATAGAGTCTGTAACCAGCTGGGGTATAAGAAAGGAAGTGAGTGAGAGAGAGAGAGCAAATGATGTTTCAATTGTCCTATTATACATGTACAGTATATATGCTTATGCATGTACATGTTAATTGTGTTAATTTCTAAATCAATTAAAGTATACTAAGTGAGATTATACATACAGTTTTATGTACCATGATTATTATAATATATATTTATAACCTATGTTTATATTTCTTCATAGTACCCTCGCTTGCTGGTCAGTTTCCAGCTGGTATTGGCCCTATCTGGGGTTCTGAGATAAACTGTACTACACTAGCGTCACTCCTAGGCAGTGATCTTGACCCACCTGGTCTTCTTGACTGCTTGTGGCCGCTACCAATCGGATCAACTCCTAACTGTACCCATTCTAATGACGCTGGGGTAATATGTACTAACGATACATCAGGTAATGGCATTAATAAAGTATTGTGTATTATATATGTGAACTATTGTTATTAGTATTAAGATATAATATTTTGTTTTGTATTTAGTTAAGTATTTTTGTCACCCAGCTATTCTCAATAACATGTTTGTGATGTTTTAAAATTACATTTTATTCCCTCCCTCCCTCTCTCTCTCTCTCTCCTTCAGCCCCTCCCATTGACACCAGGTGTATTGATAAGAGCGAGAGGTTGTTCCTCTTCAATGGTACTAACCCGTCAAGTGGTCGTATCGGTATCTGTGGGTCGGACGGACAGCTGCACAATATCTGTGACTTTATTTTCAGTGATCAGGCAGCTACTGTGATCTGTAGGGAATTGGGACTGAAAACACCAGGATGTAAGTAATAATAATAATAATAATAATAATAATAATAATAATGAAAATAGTGATAAATTAATAGTACTAATAATAAATGGATAATAATAATAATAATAATAATAAATTAATAATGAATTAATAATGATGATAATTAATGATAGTGATAATAGTGGTAGTAATCATACTAATATGCACATTAATTTTGCAATACTTCAAATAACAGGAACTTTAATGATAATAGTAGTAATAATAATAAATTAATAATAATAACAGTAATAATAATGAATTAATAATAATAACAGTGTAATATGCACATTAATATCATCATAATTAAGTAACAGGGACTTTAATGTCCCTTCCAAAAATTTAGTAAAGGCAATGGCTGACTAATAACAATTTTGCACTGTTGAGAGAGTCACCTTTAGCTTAAATACTCTCCCCAAGTAAAAGGCTATCGTGGGGCACACCATTACATTCCAATGAATATCATTATCTATTGTCTACCATACATCATGTACATGTACCTCCTTCCTCTTCCTGTGCTGTATAGATGCAGTTCATGGCCTGTTCTTTGGTACTAGTGGCACCACTCCATTATACACTAACAGCAGGTGCAGTGGAGAAGAGACAGCATACAGTGAATGCAATAGACTAATGACAAGCAGATGTACACCTGGTAGAGGAGATGTAGGGGTAGTCTGCAGCAGTAAGCCATGAGTGAGGGAGAGAGAGAGAGGGAGAGAAAGAGAGAGAGGGAGAGAGAGAGGGGGGGAGAGAATAAATTATGTTTATAAGGATATTGAAATGTATTTATTGTCATTAGGTGATTCTAGTGGTATCTGCTCAAATGGTCAAGTTATTTTATTACCATCCTCCAACAGTTCGGAGAAAGTATACAAGAAAGTTGGTGTTTGCTTTGGAAACTCCTGGGGATATATCTGTCCGGAGGACTGGGACAATAACGATGCTAAAGTAATCTGTAGACAATTGGGGCTCTCTTTAACATGTAAGAGGAGAAGAGAGAGGGGGGAGAGAGGGAGGGAGGAAGAGGGAGAGAGAGAGGGGAGAGAGAGGGGGAGAGAGGGTATAGTAAAAGAGGGTATATGCTTACATGTACATATTGTGAATTGCTAATGATTTAAATTGTTTATACTTTTCAAACTAATTATCACTGTTCCAAATATTGCATATTTATAATCTTTATTAATCAACATCTGCCACCTGGTAATGCAAGAAAAACAATAACAACCATATATACCTCTAATTATAAAGACACTGTTCAATATTTTTTTTCCTCTAATTATAGGGACGGGAGGTAAAGGAATTGACGCTGAATATGAGAATCTTAACGACTGGTTGTGGATGAATGAGGTTCAGTGCACAGGGAATGAGACTAGATTGCTGGAGTGTGGTAGGAGGAGATTAGGGACTCTGAGGTCAAATTGTGATGATGGTGGATTTGCAGCTGTAGCTTGTTTAAGAGAAAGTAACAATAAAAATAATATTAATAAATAATAATAATAATAATGATAATAATAATAATTAATGATGAATTTCCTTTCTAGTGCCCTGTACTAATGGTCAGTTTCGTCTAGTTCCAGCTGCTCCTGCTAATACAACCCAACAGCTGGTAACTAAGGGAAGGCTGGAGTATTGTATAGATCAGTCCTGGGCTAGCGTATGTAGTCGTGGCAATTACGCTGACAAATTAAACATTATTTGTCGTAAAATGAATATTTTTAGTACGGCAGGTATAAAAGTTTTTTTAATCTAATTTAATCATTTCTTGCAGCTCCTCATTTATTGCTAGTCCCTGATATCACAGCTGCTACTGATAATATTGTGACAATTAGTATCAACTGTACTCCGCCCACTCAAGATAATTGCACTGTCATTGTTGACGATAGGGCGGAGTCTTCCTGTTCCCATAGTGATGACATTGGGATTGATTGTAATCCTAGTATTGAGCCAACAGCTGGAGGAGGAGGAGGACAACAAAATTGTTGTGTTTTTATTTTAAATAATTTTTTTATTTATTCTTTTATTTTTTAGATGTTTTATTGATTGCTAGTGTCACTACAGCTGGTAGTCTGTTCCTAACGGTGACACTGATATTACTAATTATTATTATAATCGCTTGTGTTGTTGTCAGAGTTAAAAATAAAAAGAAAATGGATTTATACAATCAAACCTATGATCGGAGACCATCTGGTGATAAATGGTGAGATACTGGAAAATTTTTAAAAGGACAAACACTAGTTTTATAATTTTATCTGATACATATTGATGTCCTTATGCTGTGTAGAAAGTTTGAGCCGATTCTGACTTCAATTTTTCAAGTTATGGCCATTTTAAGAAATCGGCCAAAATCTGAAAAAATCCCTGTACTATAGTCCATGGTTTTTTCCAAAAAATGGCTCCAAAATCGTCCCTAATTTTTATTACATTTTCTGATACATATTGATGTACTTATGCTGTGTAGAAAGTTTGAGCCGATTCCGACTTCAATTTTTCAAGTTACGGCCATTTTAAGAAATCGGCCAAAATCTGAAAAAATCCCTGTACTATAGTCCATGGTTTTTTCCAAAAAATGGCTCCAAAATCGTCCCCAATTTTTATTACATTTTCTGATACATATTGATGTACTTATGCTGTGTAGAAAGTTTGAGCCGATTCCAACTTCAATTTTTCAAGTTACGGCCATTTTTAAAAATTGGCCAAAATCTGAAAAAATCCCTGTACTATAGCCCATGGTTTTTTCCAAAAAATGGCTTTAAATCACCCCCAATTTTTATTACATTTTCTGATACATATTGATGTACTTATGCTGTGTAGAAAGTTTGAGCCGATTCCAACTTCAATTTTTCAAGTTACGGCCATTTTTAAAAATTGGCCAAAATCTGAAAAAATCCCTGTACTATAGCCCATGGTTTTTTCCAAAAAATGGCTTTAAATCACCCCCAATTTTTATTACATTTTCTGATACATATTGATGTACTTATGCTGTGTAGAAAGTTTGAGCCGATTCCAACTTCAATTTTTCAAGTTACGGCCATTTTTAAAAATTGGCCAAAATCTGAAAAAATCCCTGTACTATAGCCCATGGTTTTTTCCAAAAAATGGCTTTAAATCACCCCCAATTTTTATTACATTTTCTGATGCATATTGATGTACTTATGCTGTGTAGAAAGTTTGAGCCGATTCCAACTTCAATTTTTCAAGTTACGGCCATTTAAAAAAATGAGCCAAAATCTGAAAAAATCCCTGTACTATAGCCCATGGTTTTTTCCAAAAAATGGCTCCGAAATCACCCCCAATTTTTATTACATTTTCTGATACATATTGATATACTTATGCTGTGTAGAAAGTTTGAGCCGATTCCAACTTCAATTTTTCAAGTTACGGCTATTTAAAAAAATGAGCCAAAATCTGAAAAAATCCCTGTACTATAGCCCATGGTTTTTTCCAAAAAATAGCTCCAAAATCACCCCCAATTTTTATTACATTTTCTGATACATATTGATGTCCTTATGCTGTGTAGAAAGTTTCAGTCGATTCCGACTTCAATTTTTCAAGTTATGGCCATTTTAAAAAATGGGCCAAAATCTGAAAAAATCCCTGTACTATAGCCCATGGTTTTTTTCAAAAAATGGCTCCGAAATCACCCCCAATTTTTATTACATTTTCTGATACATATTGATGTACTTATGCTGTGTAGAAAGTTTGAGCCGATTCCAACTTCAATTTTTCAAGTTACAGCCATTTTTAAAAATGAGCCAAAATCTGAAAAAATCCCTGTACTATAGCCCATGGTTTTTTCCAAAAAATGGCTCCAAAATTGTCCCCAATTTTTATTACATTTTCTGATACATATTGATGTCCTAATGCTATGTAGAAAGTTTGAGCTGATTCCGACTTCGATTTTTCAAGTTACGACCATTTTAAGAAATGGGCCAAAATCTGAAAAAATCCCTGTACTATAGCCCATGGTTTTTTCCTCCAAAATCACTCTCATTTTTTATAATTTTTTTAGTTTATTTTATGGTGAAACTGCTTCCCTTGATGGTGATATGGAGTTAAATATTCCTCGCTACAGTCAACTTACTGGTAAGTAATAATAATAATAATAATAATAATAATAATAATAATCATCATCATTATTATTATTATTATTATTATTATTATTAGCTTGTCGGACAGTTAGTGTCAGCTCTGAACATTTGGATGTCCTTAGTAACGACATTATAATAACTAGTAATAACCTGAAACTAATGGAGACTATTGGCAAAGGTACAAGCCCCTGCATTAAAAATTTACTTTTTATTTATTTTTTATTATTTTCAACAGGTGAATATGGTTTAGTTCATAAAGGACAACTTATGATGAAGAGCAAGTCAAGAATTGTAGCAGTGAAAACACTAAAAGGTACAATATGTACCATTAAAAATGTAATAAATATTATTACTAAATATAAATTATTTTATTTTTAATTTTCATTTATAATTATTAATTACTTGTAATTAATTTTATAAGTATAAATATTTTGCTATATTTTACTAACTTGTGCATGCTGTGAAAATATTCCTCCATTAAATTACATGTCTGTACATTGCAGGTCAGTTTGAGCAGTCCGATGTTGATTCTCTCCTTGAGGAAAGTATCAAAATGTTTCGTTTCAATCATCCAAACGTCCTTGGGCTGCTGGGGGTGTGTCTAGACGCTGGACCCTCCCCTTACATAATATTACCATATATGGAGAACGGGTCGCTCCTCAACTGGTTGAAAAGGGAACGGAATCGTATCGTCATAGAAGAGACATCGGCCGAAGATGAGGTCATGTGACTGGTCATGTGATGCTGTTTTTAATTATTTGTGTAGGTGGTAGACGTTAAAAGGGAACTATTGTCAGCTTGTCACCAGATTGCTAAAGGAATGGAGTATTTATCAACAAGGAAGTTTATACATAGGGACCTTGCCGCCAGAAATTGCATGTAAGACAAAATAAAGAATTATAATACAGTTAAGTTTCTTAGGATGGACGAATACAATTTGTTAAAGGTTTCTGATTTTGGTCTTTCGCAAGAGATTTACGGTAAGACGTATTTCCGTCAGGCTGAGGGAGAAGAGACTAAACTGCCGATAAAATGGATGGCAATTGAAAGCATGACGGATGGACTCTTCTCTGAAAAAACTGACGTGGTAACTGAGTAATTACATGTAGTATTGGACCACACTACCTGTCCTTAATACATGTACAGTGTAGCCTCTTATTAAGGACACCATTGGGCCCACACTACCTGTCCTCATTTCAGAGGTACTTTTGTATAGACTTGTACCAATTGGGATATTACAGAATGTCCTCATTATAAAAGTGTCCTTATAAAGGTGTCCTTATTATAGAGGCTACACTGTACACCATTATCAGTGTGTTGATGTGTCTTGGTTGAGTGTATTCCATTTGTTACTGTTAGTAATAACATTGAAACTACCTTCCATCACTCTGTTTGTATTGTACATGTACTTATGCTGTAGGGGAAGTACAGTGTATTTAGACTAACAATAACTAGTTATCACAATAATAATAATAATAAAATAATAATGCATTATACATGTAATGAAATAATGTTCATTAGTTGCTTTTCTTTGCAGCATTAGACCTGCAAGTTCTGCAATATCAGTTATATTGGAAACAGTTTGTATAATATACATATTGTCAAGTTTCAGTATAACCAGTATATAACAATCACACACCTTTACTCTATAATAATCCTATTATTATCAGTATTATTATTATTGTTGCTGGTTTTCTTGTTATTTGTTTTAGTGGTCATTTGGTGTGACGTGTTGGGAGATATTCAGTGGAGGTAAGATGCCCTATGGAGGTGTCAGTCCAATGTCACTACCTTCTCTATTGGAGGCTGGAGACAGACTACAGAAACCGCTGAATGCTGCCTGCACTTCTGATGTGTAAGAAAAGAGAGAGAGAGAGAGAGAGAGAGAGAGAGGGAGGGGAGAGAGAGAGAAGTTGTGTACAGTATCATTGCTAATCCTCAATGCATCTCTTCTTTGTTAATAAGTTGTTTTGGTTTGGCCTGAAGTTGAAACTGAAAGTGATATATTATACTATTGACTACATTTGTATTGACATTTGGGACTACTTTGCTGACTTAATGAGAATACACTATCAAATCTGATGGACACACAACTCAATCCCTATTTTCTCTCTCTCCTTCTCTCTCTCTCTCCTTTAGTTTTGATGTGTTAACTCGTTGCTGGCTCACCAATCCAAAAGATCGTCCTACATTCACTGATCTTGTCAGCACTTTTGATGATCTCTTAACGCCGTTAGCTGATTACCTTGATTTCAGTGATATCAACGCTCCAATGGCTTCTTTGAAATCAACAGTAACCGATCTGGGCATGAGACCTAGGCTGGTTAGGGAGAGTACGGCCGATGAAGATGAAGTTTTTTGATTTTAAAAAATAAACAAATATTATGTAGTGAAGTTCTCCTTGTTGTTATTCTGTTGTTCTAGAAAGTATCCCCTCATCTTTCATTTTAACTCATCAATTGTAATCAGTTATACACTTCAGTTTTCACTTTCAGTCAATTCAATAACACTTTAATTCAATATTAATCTTTAAAAATCCTCTGACCCAGGTGCACCTGTTTAAACATTGCATTGTCCTAAAGAATGCAATTAAATTTTTCAAAAGTTCAAATATTTGTGGGGAGTAGAAGTGTTAAACTAACAATTGATTTATTCACCTTCTCTAAATATCACTGAGTCATTATCATATACTGCTAAAGGTCATGAATGTATTATGAGTAACAAAACAGAGTATGCTCTTGGTTTTTTAGAATGTAACCTTGTCAATGAATGATAGGAGTAAAAGTGAACTTCATAAGGCAACGTAACAGAGTAAGTATACAAGCCTGCTGCTGCTGCTCCTATATTTTACATCAAAAGTTGATGTGTCGAAATTGACTTCAATATGTGTGTCTGTACACTATTATGGACCTGTTTGATTACAGATGACAGTAGACTCCCCTATATTACCTGCTATATTGGTTGTTGATGGTAAGAGCTGCAGTGATTAGAGTCGCAGTGTTTACACAAACGAGTGCAATTTCCTAAAATCCAATTCTCAATGGATAATTCCTTTGAATTGAAGAGCATCATAACAAAGAGTATAGCTGTTCATCCTCCCCCTCTCTCTATCCCCTTCCTGTGTCAAACTGCCAACTATAACTGTTGCTTTATATACATACATGACTATGTACACATTGAAACTTAGTCAGTCATACTAGGTCTTCTCTCTCTCTCTCTTGCTGCAGTCCTCTTGCAAGATGGTCTTATTTCTAACTGATATCTTTCCATCATTGCTGGTTATCCTATTCCTCATTGCTATATCAGGAATTGCTCTTCTTCTCTGTGTAAGGAAAGGCCGCTCTGGTGTAAAGACTAAGGCAAACACTGCATATGTCTATTACAATACAAATGCTTTCCCAAGAGAAGGACTCATTTTTACTGATCCTGTATCAACTCAACCTTCTGTCATAGAATGTCCTGGTGGTTCTACACCTCCTCCTCCTCTACCTCCCCCCTTCTCTCCCTCTCCACTCTCTCCCTCACTTCACTTGAGCAGCACTCATGATGAATTTAAGACTAGATTTGAAGATACTTCAACATTCATTGCTGCATCAGTACAGCAACAGCACACCAACCCTGCAGCATCACCAGTGCCACAGTCTCCTAGTACTAACACCAGTGCAGGCTATCATGAGTTTATTCGCATTAACAATCCAGGAATAACTGGAGGTAAGTTACGCAGTCACACTGTGCACACTAGCATGATGGGAGGACTCAGCTCCATTGGTGAAGAAGGAGGACAGATGAGTCCACAAAGGCCATACATGGGGAGCTGCAGTCATCTTGACAGTGGTTACAGCCACAGCAAGACTGCTCCTAGAATGTATGGGTATAGAGAGCCAGCTACCACCACATTAATGATGAGAGCTAGTGAGGAGCAGCAACAGTATAGGCAAGCTGTAACACCTACCAGCATATTGAGAGGGCATGCTGCTACTCTACCACACTCTGCTAGAGTCACTTTCTCCCCTACTCCTTCTCCAGTGACTGCAGAGCAGCTCAACCAGCAAACATTAAACCTTCGTTACTCTATAACTTCACAAGATGCAGAGAAGAGTTTTTTGCCACCACTTCCTTCACAAGCCAGCAATACACAACCAATGCAGATTAATGCACCACGGGGCTCTCTACCAGGGAGATTTGACTCAGTCCCTTCATCATCTCGTTGTGGTCGCTCACAAACGTTTAGTGGTGTCAGTGATGCTAATGACACACTCTACGTGGAAATGCGTAGCACTGGTGGATCAGTTCGTGATGGTTATACCATTAATCAACAAGGACTCGGTCAGAATATGACAAAAGAAGGTACCAGCCCGAGACTTTTACGTTCTCAAAGCGACACAACAAAACCTCATTACGTTAACTACATGATACCTCTGCCTCTATCAAGACAGAGCACCCCAGAGTCTGTCGATGAAGATGAAGAAATGGACAAGAGAGAGGAAGAGAAAGAGGAGAAAGAGGAAGAAGAGAAGTCAATGGAATTCATTGATTTAACAAGACGTTACAATCAAGGAACCGAAGAGATAAAGCATGATTATATCAACATGAAGCTACTCCCACTAAGGAGTGAGAGTCAAGTCATAATGGAAACATCTCCAGAGGTTTGCACTCCTTTGGGAGAGAATGAAGATGGAGAGTACATTAAAATGTGGAATATATTAGGAAAGAAAGCCGAAGA